GAGGAGGAGGAGGAGGAGGAGGAGGAGGAGGAGGAGGAGGAGGAGGAGGAGGAGGGGCGTCCCAGATCGGCGGCACAGGCCGAAGGCTACTACAATCCAAGCCTTCTGCTTCTAAAGGCCCCCAGGAGGCCCCAAGAGGCGCCCTAAGAGGCCCCTAGATCCATATCTTTTCCATCCCGACGTCGCCGATGCATTGAAAATACTGTGCGATCCTCTGGCCTCATCTACTTTGGCCCCACTTGTGCGGCCTCAGGACAAGCGGCGCCGTGGATCGAGCCGGGGGGTAAGGGTCAAGGTGGGTGGCCTTCTGAGATGCCCCCCAGCCTTTCGAAGTCGTAAAGTCGTCGTTTTTCGAGGAGCTTATCCCTCCTGAAGTACACTCCAACCTTCTACAGTGAGCGGGTTTGTGTTATGGGAAGTTATGGCCAGACCGCGGCGAAGGCGACTGCGAGGGCGGCGACTGCGTCGATGACGCCAGCTCGGCAGCGCGTCCTGGGGGGAAGTGACAGGGGGCAGGCCTTCTCGGAAGGCGGCGGGGCTCAGTGGCCTTCCGGCCTTCTGAGAAGCCGTCTCTGCCTTTGCAGAGGCTCAGAACACTTTTCAGAGGGCCCGTCCGAGCCTTCCGAGAAGGCCCGCCCCCTCTGCATTCCACCTTGGGCTCGCCGCCGACCAGCGGCGACAACGGCGACGGCGACGGTGGCGACGATGACGGCGCCGACGTCAGACGACGACGGCGCCGGCGAAGGCGCCGGCGAAGGCGCCGACGACGACGCCAGCGACGACGACTACGATGGCGACGGCGAAGGTTGTGATGGCGGTGGCGACGACTACGGCGACGGTGTACTGTAGGTCGACGAAGGAGGCGGCCAGGGCGGCCACGGCGACGACCACGGCGGCGAGGGCGAGTGCGCCGGCGGCGACGGCGAGAGCGGCGAGAGCGGCGACGGCGGCGACGGCAGCCACGGCGACGTTACAAACTTGTCGATTTCTGCTCGACCTGCTGGAAGGCTCTCGCTCGACGAGACTTCTGCAACGGGGCGCACGCCGCGGGCTGCTGGAACGCGCTTCCTCGGTAAGAGCGCAGTGATGATGCGCCCCAGTGTTGTCGGCATCGGCTGCAGGTTCGCGGCTCTGGATCGATACTTCTTTAGATTTTTGATAATCCGAATCGGAGGGGGGAATGGAGGGGATGGCGCGGGTACGTGTTCTCACGCCTCGTTCTCAGCGAGGCTCGAAACGTGAAGATCGTTCCGGAGATATCCCGATGCGAACACGTGCGCCCTAAATTCCCACCGTCGACACTCAGAGTGAGGGGGCCGAACGGTCATTCGTTGCCCCTGGGTGCGTGGCAGAAGTGGCGCTCCTTCCGTCGTATTCTGCCTGTCGTGTTGGCGTTGCGTTGTCGTCGTCTCCACCCGTGACCCGCCCGCGACCCACCCGCGGCCCATCCCGCGACACGCCCCGCGACCCACTTGCGACCCACCCCGCGCCTGCCTCATTATTCTTAACCGCAACTAGGAGGAGGACGAGGAGGAGGAGGAGGAGGAGGAGGAGGAGGAGGAAGGAGGAGAGGAGGAGGAGGAGGAGGAGGAGGAGGAGGAGGAGGAGGAGGAGGAGGAGAGGAGGAGGAGGGTGCTCCATGGGCTGCAGAGGGCCGCCCCTTCCGCCCTGCCCCGCGCTCTCCGCCGCTGGCCTCCCGCATCGGCGATCGGGCCTCGGGGCTGGACGCCGTGGTGCAGCGTCGTGTGGTGCCGGCGGTGCGGCAACGCCTCTTGGTGCTCCGCTGGTCAAAGGAGGAAGGCACACCCCCCTCCTCCTCCGCATCCTCCTCCTTCGCCTCCTCCTCCTCCTCCTCCTCCTCCTCTTCCTCCTCCTCCTCCTCCTCCTCGTCCTCCTCCTCCTCCTCACAGCCCTTCCCTCCCCCCCAACGCCTCTGGTCCACCCAGGCCCCGACAATTGGCGTTTACTATCCGGCCCTGGGCGTTTATTGAACAGCCCGGTCTCTTCGATCCCTTCCTCGGGTGCGTTTCTTGAACGGCTTCGCTCGTCGGGGTGCTTCTTTAGAGGTGGATTTTCTGCCCACTATCTAGGGGGGGGGGGAGCGGTGGCGGGGAGGGGCCACAAGCCTGCGAGGCCGAGCGGGGGCTGCGGGGAGGCCACCGCGACATCCTGCACGCAGGTCGCCCGCCGGGGAGCGAAGACGAGCGCGCCTCACGCGGCGCGGCCCCGAGCTTCGGGCCGACCTCGGCGGGGCGGCTGCGCGCCCTCAGTGCGACGGGCCTCCGCGACAGCCTCTGGCGGCCTCCGACGGCCAGGGGCCCGGCGGGTCTGAGCCGTTCGCCGCAGTGTCTTTCGGCCCAGGCGGACGGAGAGCACCCGGCCCAGTGTGGTCCCAGCGGGGTGTCGCCCTAGGTCAGCTCGATCGGACGGGGCCAGGACGCGGATCAATCCGTCCCAGAGCGTTCCGGAACGCTCTCAGAGCGTTCTGGAAGGCTCTGAGAAGGCCGCGGCGCCCGAGGCATCCTCCAGAGCCGCCGCGTCTCTGGGTTCTAGATGTCCTCACCCGACTTTATCTTCGTCCTGGCTTCGTCCTCCCTGAGACCCCACGTTGCAGAAACATGCAGCATCGCAAACAATCACGACCAGAACCCTGGACCCCGGAATGCAACTGCGTCATTTTTCGAGCCGGATCGCTCTGTGAGGGTCCCGGGGCCCGACATTCGGAGCGAAAGCGCCCGGTGTCCAGACATGGCAGCGCCAGGGTCTCAGGGTCACTCGAAGCGATGCTGCTGATGCAGCTCCCGATCCAGGTGGTCGCCGTGCCCGCCGCCCTGGCGCCACAGCAGGGCGCCGCCCCCGTGGAGCCCTGGAGCCTCGGCGGGGGCCTCGCCCCCGGCGCCGCGGTTGCGCCGCCGCCGCCGGCCGTGGCCGGCACGGCCTCGAGGGGCTCGAAGAACCACTTCAAGGGCCAGTGCCGCCCGTGCCGCTTCCACGAGGCCCCCGAGAAGTGCCCCCGCGGCGAGGACCTCCTCGTGACCCTCAAGGGGGGGCCAGCTGAAAGAGGGCGGTGCAGTGGGTTTGGGGCAGCTGTGTTGCAAACGTGTGTGGCGCCAGAGACTCGTATCGCATTGGAACTGCAAACAGTCCATGTGTCGCAAAAGAACATCCAGGAAAACATTTTCGCACCGGAATGTGCTGGGCGCCCCAACTCTCTTGCAGCACCGCAAGTCTGTTGCACCAGGTCTACTTCACCACCCGCTTTCTGCTCTACCCCCCTTGTGGGTCAAGCCGAGGACTGCAACTTCTGCCACTTCCCCCACGGCGAGGAGAAGTTCGCCCAGATGGAGGCCTTCAGCGGCAGGGCCAAGGGGCGCCGGCCGCGCAAGGGTGCGGGGCCGAGGGAGGGCCAGCCTGGCCAGCGGCTCTCCCTGTTCGACCACCTGGACCTCGTGGGCTCCTGGAGCGGCTGGCAGCAGCCCGGCGGCAGCAGCAGCAGCAGCAGCATCTGCTCCTGGAGCTCGCAGAGCGAGCTCGCCGAGGCGCCCGTGCGCGGAGCCGCGTGGCCGGACTTCAGCGCCGAGGGCAGGCAGCGGCTCGAGGCGATCCTCCTGAGCGCGCAGCCCAGGCACTACTACGACTGAGCGGGGGCCTGGCCGGGGGCCGCTGGCGAGGGCGAGGGCCGACGGCCTGGGGGGAGGGGAGGGGGAGGGCAGGACGAGGAGGAGGGGAGGGGAGGGGAGGGCAGGACGAGGAGGAGGGCAGGACGAGGAGGAGGGGAGGGGAGCGGAGGGGAGGGCAGGACGAGGAGGAGGGCCGCCGAGGGGCCGCCGAGGGCCACGAGCCCGGCCCATCGGCGGCCTCGGCTTTGGCGGGCTTCGGTCGGTGCGGGAGGGGGGGCTACTTGCGAGCAGCCTCGGAGTCCACACGCGGTCCGCGGTCTCTTCCTGTCCCTGTGGCTTCGGGGGGCGGCCGACTATTCTGGCATCTGGAGGGTGTGCACGACTTCCAGAAGAAGCTCAATTCATCCGACGGATCTGAAGAACGGATCGTCGCAATTCGGGTTAGAGACTAGAGACCCCCGCTGCTCAACGTGAGGCTTGGACAGTACTGCTGCAGTTCGCCACGTGGACAGCCTTGTTCAGCGAGCTAAGTGGCAAGGAGCACATGCGGCTCAGAGCAAAGAGCTGGCCTGCATTGTGTCTTCACTGCCCACCCGTGGGCCTCGCGGGCTCGAGGCAAGGCGTGACCCCGGGCCTTCGTAGTCGTGACGCCCCCGCGGCTCGCGACCTTTCCTCCTCTACCTCGTCGGAGGCACCGAGTTGGGCGCCCGCTTCCGATCGCAGCACGCCCGCGGCCGCACCCAGTCTCAGCTCTGCACAGTCAGACGCGACATGGAGTCGCGCGCAGAGCTGCGGGTTTCGCGACGGCGAGTCTTCCTGGTCCTGACCCCCGCCAGGGGGAGGGGTCCTGCAGGGGCGGCGATTGATGGAGGGAGGGGCGGGGGGTGAGATGCCTGGTGTGAGTGCGCGGAATGAGAGGAGGCTCTGCGCTGCCACTCGGAATTCTATTGCTTTTTGTTTATTGCGCTACCGTCCGTTGGTCACCAGACCGGTTCTCAGAGCGGGCTCGGCCCCTTGAGGAGAAGCAGCAGCAGCAGCAGACCATCAGCCACAGGAGGAGCAGGGAGGAATATTAGGGACGCGGGGAAAGCATTGGACGCTTGAGCGTTAGCTTCCGTAGTGGGCTGTAGCCCAGCTGCGCTACTCCCGATCTGCCCGAGGGCCGTGCCCATCTAGAACTCTGGGCGAAAAGCTTGGCCCGTGCCTCCGGCACCCGGGCAAACGTGCGATTGTCTTGCTGTGGCCCAGACCGTTGCCCAAATTCGGCATCGAAATTTGACGAGCGGCCCTCGTCACATCACTTTCACGTCTGCGTCGATCGCTTTTCGGATCGACCGCGTTGCATGTGTAGTATACGTGCACGGGCTACCTCTTTAGGCTCTTTAGGGATGGAGCGTCGCATTTATGGTCACCGCGGTGCTCAAGGACGTGTGGCAGTTGTACGAGTCACTTCTTCATGTTGTATTGGTTATTGACACCTCGAGGAGGAAGAAGAGGAGAAGGAGGTATAACACGGGATAGGAAGAAGGCGACGACGACGACGACTACGACGACGACGACGACCGACGACGACCGACGACGACGACAACGACGACGACGATGACGATACGAGGCAACCATAATGGCTTACGCGGATCTATCGCTCTGGGAGCCTCTTGTAGCCATCTTGATGCCCTCTTAGAGCAGCGAAATGGTGAGAAGCCACAAATAAGGGGAACACATGTTTGGTTTTATTGACTGATTTTGTTCACTCGCTGGCCCCCCTGGAAGGGTTCGAGGCTACTTGGAGCCGTCTTGGTGCCTCTTGGAGGCATGCTGGAGGGGGGGTGGACAACATTGCTACGTATCGGAGGCAAGTTTCAGGCGTCCGGGGCCATCCTCGAGTATTATTCGCCCGAAAGCCTCCGAAGGATGCCCCCGAGAGGCTAATATCAAGCAACAGCATGTTGCTTTTCAAAGGCTTTGAGCGAACGGGGCGTCCTTACTTGGAGTCCCCCCGTCGGATACCGAACAGTCGCTTCTTGGAGCCCTCTTGGGGTGTTCCTTGGGCGCCTTTGGGAGCTCTGACGGCCGTTCTGGGGCCCTCCAGGGCGCCAATTGGGGCTTTTTGGTTGCTTTTGGAGCCATCTTGGGATCCCACAGGCCTGTCGAGAGCGAAGCGGCTAGAAATCACGCCTCACTGAAACACATAATGTCTTCGACTGATTTTGACTTTTGGGGTTGTCGTTGGCAGGCTCCGTGCCCACTTGGAGCTGTCTTGTGGCCGCCGTGGGCATCTTGGAAGCATGTTGGAAGCCATGCTGACTATCTTGTGCCATCTTAATCTATCGAAGACGCCTACGGCGAGTCACCGCCGCCCCCTGCCTTCTAGAATCGCCCACGTGGCCGAGCGTTGTGGCAAGAGCTCTTCCAAGCTATCGGACCATGCATTCCCCCAGCCGTAGTGGAAACCCTCGGGGAACACGTGGGGGAGGATGGCGGGGACGATCAGGAGGAGGCGGAGGAGGAGGTGGAGGAGGAGGAGGTGGAGGAGAAGGAGGAGGAGGAGGAGGAGGAGGAGGAGGAGGAGGAGGAGGAAGAGGGGGCATCTTGGGAGCCTTTGGGGACACTCTTGGAGACTCCTGGGAGCTTCCTGGGATCCTCTTGGAGGCATCTTGAGGGCCCTCTTGCAGGCCTCTTGGGGGCCTCCGGGGGCTTCTCGGGGGCCTCTTTAGCCATCTTGGTGGGCTCCTAGCCCGTCTGACGCCGTCGGAAACCGTCTTGGGGGCCACTGGGCCGACTTGGGGCCCTCTTGGGGTGCTCCAGGGTCGTCTTGGAGGCCATCTTGGGCGTCATATATGCCTTTTGGGCCGTCTTGGGGGCCTCTTGGGCCCGTCTTGCAGGCCTCTTGGGCTGCTCTGGGGGCCATCCTGGAGGCCTCTTGGGCGATCTTGGGGCGATCTTTGGGGGCTCTTGGGCCGTCGGAAGGCCGCAAAGAAGCAAATGCCAAAGAACTTCAAAAACCTAATGGCAATCAATGAGTTTGGCCTCTTCGGGCTTTCCTGGGGGCTCTCTTGGAGGCCTCTTGGGCCGTCTTGGGCCATCTTAAGGCCATCTTCGGCCGTCTTGGTGGGCTCCTGGCCCGTCTGACGCCGTCAGAAGCCGTCTTGCGGGTCTCTCTGGGCCGTCTTGGAAACTGTCTTGGGCGTCTTGGACGCCAAGACGGCCCAAGAGGCGCCCAAGACGGCCCCAGAGGGCCCCAAGACGGCCCCAAGAGGGGGACCACGAACCGAAAAGTCTAGCCTTTCGCCCTTAGACGCTCCCAGGAGGCCCCCAGAGCCCCCCAAGAAGCCCCAAGTTGCCCCCAAGAGGCGTCCCAAGAGGCCACCGGAAGGCGAAAATCATTGATTTCCTATTGGGAAAGGTACATTTTCAGCATACAAGGCTTTTCGGCTTTCACTGCGTTGAAGACGCTCCAAGAGGCCCCCAAGACCGCCCCAAGACGGCCCAAGAGGCTCCCAAGAGGCTCCCAAAACGGCCCAAGAGGGCGCCAAGACGGCCCAAGAGGCGCCCAAGACGGCCCCAGAGGGCCCCAAGACGGCCCCAAGAGGGGGACCACGAACCGAAAAGTCTAGCCTTTCGCCCCAAGAAACTCCCAGGAGGCCCCCAGAGCCCCCCAAGAAGCCCCAAGAGGCCCCCAAGAGGTTCCCAAGAGGCCTCCAGAAGGGCCCGAAAAGGGCCCCAATAGGACTCCCAAGAAGGCCCAGAGGCGCCAAATACAGAGCGATCGGTAACGCAAAAAGCTCTTCACACCAAGGTTCCCAAGAGCGAACGATGACGTAAACAAGCTGATAAGACAAAGGCTCCCAGCAGAGAGCGGTGACGTAACAAGTTCCTGACACCAAGGCCCAGCCAAGGCTCAGGAACTGGCGGCAACGCAACAATCTCTGAACACCAAGGCTCCCAAGAGCGAGGGGTGACGTAACAAGCTCTCAACGCCAAGGCTCCCGGTACGAACGGTGGTGTGCCTAATTTCGGTTCCTGTTTCTGAAGCGCTCTTTCCGTTTCTGTGCCGAGCCAGGTAACGGAAAGAGCGAGGTACGAGTGATGACGTTCTGGTGTGGGCGAAGCCCGAAAGGGAGGGGTTCCAGGGGAGGGGGGTAGCGGGCCCATTTGCGTGTGAATGGCCGTTTTCGGGTTTTCCCTTGGGTTTTTGCATGTTTTTCGGGTTCCCCCCCAAGACGGCCCAAGAGCGCTCCAAGAGAACCCAAGACCGCCCAAGACGGCCCAAGAGGCCCCCAAGAGGCCCCCAATAGGCGCCCAAGGGGCGTCCCAAGAGGGCCCCAAGAGGCCGAAATCAACGATTTTCAGAGGAAAACGTATATTTTTAGCATATGCGCTTTGTCGGCTTTCACGGCGTTGACGACGGCCCAAGAGGCCCCCACCGCCCCAAGACGGCCCAAGAGGCTCCCAAGAGGCCCCCAAAACGGCCCAAGAGGGCCCCAAGACGGCCCAAGAGGCGCTCAAGACGGCCCAAGAGGGCGCCAAGACGGCCCCAAGAGGGGGACCACGAACCGAAAAGTCTAGCCTTTCGCCCCAAGACGCTCCCAGGAGGCCCCCAGAGCCCCCCAAGAAGCCCCAAGTTGCCCCCAAGAGACGTCCCAAGAGGCCACCGGGAGGCGAAAATCATTGATTTCCTATTGGGAAAGGTACATTTTTAGCATACAAGGCTTTTCGGCTTTCACTGCGTTGAAGACGCTCCAAGAGGCCCCCCAAACCGCCCCAAGGCGGCCCAAGAGGCTCCCAAGAGGCCCCCAAAACGGCCCAAGAGGGCGCCAAGACGGCCCAGCCCAAGACGGCCCCAAGAGGGGGACCACGGACCGAAAAGTCTAGCCTTTCGCCCCAAGAAGCTCCCAGGAGGCCCCCAGAGCCCCCCAAGAAGCCCCAAGAGGCCCCCAAGAGGTTCCCGAGAGGCCTCCAAAAGGGCCCGACAACGGGTCCAATAGGACTCCCAAGAAGGCCCAGAGACGCCAAATAGAGAGCGATCGGTAACGCAAAAAGCTCCTCACACCAAGGCTCCCAAGAGTGAACGGTG